TTAATATTTGTTTATTTATATATATTTGTACAGATTGATCAGCAGCAGCACTTACATATTCAGACTATCAGTTCAGGTGGGAACTCAGACTGAGTATTACATTGAGTATAATTACAGCTATGATGTTCGAGGTATGTATCAGTTCCGCTTAGAGTGGTGGCCAATTTGCGTAATTCCACTCCGAGCTCTAGTGGCTAGATCTGACCACTAGGGTGTGCACATGGTTCCGACTGAGTTTATTACAGTCGGCAGACACAGTTTACGTCCAGTTTATACTGTTGACGAGCCAGTTACAGATAGCAGCAGATATACATACGTTTGATCATGATGATGCAATTATTATTGTTTTATTTCAGTATGAGTTTCTGCGGAGCACAGTGGCTTTTAGTGCTCACGCTCCCACTATTATTATCCTTTTTAGGTGACAGGGTCGGTCCGGTGGAGTGAGCGGAGCTGGTGGTCGTCGGTGCAGTACATACATATATATATATACATATATGTTTTTGCAGACTTATGATATGTATATTATTTGCCACGCTTTTACTTCCGCTGATGTTTTTAGACTTTCAAACTAGCGTGTAATTTTTCAGACTTTGATCCGAGCCTTTCGGACGGATTTTATACAGTATTACATGCTTGTTTGATAAAAGATAATCCGTTTTTTTCATAAATATTATTTAATTAATAAAGATAACGGATTTTTAGAAAAGAATTGTTTTTCTGTAGCATCTCGAGACATGATTTCGCAAACTAAAACGTAAATTTTAGAAAAGAATTTGCGAAAATCGCACTGTGATTTTAGTAAGCTAGCGGGGTGTTACAAATGGTATCAGAGCACGTTTTTGTGTATCTGAATACTTTACTAAGTTAGAAATTTTCAGAAAAGAACCGACCATGCTACGCTCACACCTCGCCGACTACATGTAAGTGCTGAGTTACAGTTTATATATATCTAAACGGATGCTTAAGTCTATGCTCAGTAGAGGGTATTATATATTTAACCCTAGAAATCAGTAAGATGCTCGAGTTAATGATCAAGTATTTTCAGAATATAGTCGATTGTCTCAGTTATTTGATAATTCGACTTTAGTTATCTCGGGTTAATTTTAGCAACTCGTCAAGAGATCTGTGCGCATCAATAATCAGTAAAAGTATTTTATCATGTTATATTCCTTGCATCTGATTACGTTAATATTTTTCAATATTCAGATACCGCCTTGTAGAGAACCAAATCACCAAGAACTCCCTCAGGCCACAGTGGTCGCACATTTCCGCGACTACCATCTAGAAAGGTTCTCCGGCCAGGGAGATCCTCGTATTGTGGACGAATGGGTCCAAGGCCTTGAAATGATTTTCGAGGTCATGGACTGTCCAAACCGCTATCGTGTTTTATGCGCACAGCTTCAGCTGTCCGGTGATGCCCGACTCTAGTGGAATGCCTATTGGAGTATGCGTCCCGGCGAAAAAGAAGGTTGTACGTGGGATCAATTCAAGGAGTTGATTTGCGGGAAGTACTATCCCTCGTATTACCGAGCAGAGATGGAGCGCCAGTTCCTGCCACTC